AAATAATAAATAATAAATAATAAATAATAAATAATAAATAATAAATAATAAATAATTAATAATTAATAATTAATAATTAATAATTAATAATTAATAATAAATAATAAATAATAAACAGTAGCTAATTTTAACCATGAAGGGTAACTGCAATTCGTGCATAGTTCCTACGCTCTTCGCGCTATTCTCGTCTGTGTTTTATGTATCTCACTTACCGAGTGACATTTCCTCATTTCCCTTTAGCCTCTCCAACATGCCCGCTGCAGCTACATTCGTGTTTTGCTGCTATTACAGCTACTTCTGCGCACTGTATACTTTTAATTATTTGCAGATGTTGTTTTTTTTTTATTATCATTATTATTCCCCTCTCATTATCCGACACGACTGCGGCCTTGACTACATCCTTTGCCCTTGCTCATCCCTCTCACTGCCATAACAACAACGCACATTAGCCCAAGGAAGTAATTGACTTGAGCCTTGCTTGCTGCTTTCATTTATCAAATCTCTAAGAACTACTGCTGGGCGACTGAATAGGAGATACCCTATAGCTAACGACAGTACCTTGAGAACAAGTCTGATTTGAATAAGTTCGGCACGCAATGAGGAAGCCCAAACACTACGCGACAACTCGCATATAAGTCAAGTGTGATTGAAGTGGTTTTATAAGCTCCAAAGCCTTATTTAAAATGCGATTTTAATTGCCTTGCTGAAAAAGGGAAGTTCAAAAAAGTCCATGTGCTCGATATAGAAGTAGAAACATAATCTTTAATTTATTCAGCGGGAATCAATATGCAGAGACATAAACAGCGAATCAGAGATAACTCGTCATACTTCATGTTGTCTGATTTGCCTCCAGTTGTTCGTCTCATATCTACGCATCAGCATTATGCCGAATTGTAGCCAAAAACAATGCCAAACTACATAAGCTATATAACTATAACTATAGAGAGAGAGAGAGAGAGAGCGATTTGTGACCAATGATGCTGGCTGATTAACTTGAGCAACAGACAGAAGGTCGCTCTTAGTTGGCCGGGTTCAACGAAATCCTTCGACCATAACTGAGAGCTAGTTTAACTATGGATGCGGGCTCAAAAGTTTTATCGATATCGTGGCACAACAAAGGACCAATCCAGCCAGATAAATGGCCAAAACTATGTGCATACATATTTTAAATTGATGCCACGAGTTCCCTGAACCCCCAACGTGCATTGACTTGTGGCACTCCTTGTGGCATCTTTATGTTGGCGCGCTGGCTCGTAGATAGCACAATTTATGGACCAAAAGCATGGCTAATAACTTGCGGTTAAGCATTAATGGACTTGAGCATTGATTTCAGACAGGGCCTTAATTGTGTCGTAAATGCGTTATTGATACATCATTAGGCAAGCGATAGACATGGCGTATGCGCAACATTTCGAAGCGAACTTTAAGCCAAACAAATTTAATGCCAGACACAATGTATGTGGCATTTTTGCTTACGCTCCAAAATGATTTTAAAGAGCAGTTTATTACCATTTGAGGAGCCAGCACCATATGGCCAATAAAACAGAGTGCGGCTGGATAAATACTAAACCAAACTCTGTTTGATTTAATGCCGACGATTTTATGTCTCTAACAAGTGTTGAAATACTGAAAGAGTTTACATTCCCTTAAGCAAATATTGATTAACAGCTCAAGTCTTACAAGCTTATTCAATGAGAAAGTGAAAGTTCCTTTGACTTCAAAATCTATACTATTTGAAGGACCCACAGTACTTTTTTTTTTTTTTTTGAGACATCACGTATTCCAACTGACATTTGGTCTACTTTAAGTTAGAAACATATTTGCGTGGGGTGCAACGGGGGCATAATTGGTAAACATGCCAAAAAAAAGAGAGAAGGAAATAAGAAAAGAAAAGAAAGGAAAAGCCTTCACTTTATACACCTACCCCACTCGGCTGAACGTGACGCCTTGAAAGTCTCGACCCGTTTTATTGGGCGAACGTGTCAAAGGAAAATACATGCAAAAATGAAATGAGCGCACACAAACAGCAAGGTATAATAAATGAAAAAATAAAATAAAATAAAATTAAATAAATTAAATTATTCGAATATTTCTTAAGCTTCAAGCGAATAATTTAAAATTGGAATTGAAATACAATTTGCAACGATCAAGATTGCAACAATATTAATTCCTTCCATTGGCATTGATGGATTCTGATAAATGAGCAGACATTATGACGAATATGCAGATATACATACATATATGCATATATATATACATATATATATTTAGAGAGATATATATAAATCAATGACCAATACAAACATGCACTCATACTGTGACATGCTGTCAATATTTGTGCGATAAAAATCAGAATCGAACAGTGGCCCAAACAATGGCCAGACATTCAGACGGGGGGCAGCGAGGGGACAGCGAGGGGTCTGTGTTTGCATGTAAAGCCAAATAATTGGCAGCAGCATGAACAAGAACTGCAATTAGAGCAAAATATTGACTAACGGCTGCTACAGCACTGGCCATGCGCATAGATGCATGATGGAGAGAGATAATGGTTATAGAAATATAGCTACAATTATGCTTTAACTCTAAAAAGTACTCAATGCAATTTTGTTTTACTTAGAACTAAATAAATAGAAATTGAATGGATTCAACAAATTTGATAAATATCTCATGTCAAAGTCCATCTTCCAGCCAAGTTTGCATACCTAGCTTGATGTATTAGAAGCATAGTACCATGAAAATATTTATTGAATGACTTATAAATCACATATAAATCAGTTAATATATCGCAATGCTAAAGCTAAAATCTCTGCAAAATTGTAGCAATTGATCCATTTGACTGTCCAGTGCTGTATGGTCAGAGTAGACGATAACAGTGCCTCAAATAAATGTCAACACAAAAGTAATTTTGATAGCATTCATAAAAGATTCAGCTTCAGTTGAGGATGATGCATTGTTTTTTTTTTTTCTCTCTCTGTATCGAGTTTTTGCCATGCACAACGTGGCGTATGCTTGTTATTATTTTTTGTTATTCGTTTCATGGCTGAGCACTAAACATCTATCTCGCTTGCAATTTCATCCACCCTCTTTCACTCACTCTCTCTCTCTCTCTCTCTCTCTCGCTCTCTTTGTGTCTGCCAGACATTTCAGTTTCATTCATTGCGATTCATTTTAGCGTGTTTGGTTTTAATTAAATTTTATGCTTGCGCAGATATATAAAAGTGGTTCACATAAAAAAAGCTGCAAGTGAATAAGAGTGCAATCCAAAATTTAAATATTACAAATAAAATACAACAAGAAAATTCATTAATCAACTGGCGTAGACGACAGCAGGCAAAGTTTTTCCCCCAACAAATTCGAAAACAATGAGCGCGCGTTGACTCTAAAAAAAAAAAATAATAATAGTAATAAATAAATAGAAAAATAAACAAATCGAGAAATCCTAGTGCGAGCCAAACTTTTGCTATGGGCGACACTTTGGATGAATCGCCGCCAACGCGCCGCGATAAGCCCCAATCGCTGAACATTAGCTCGGAGGAGACGGCTGCAAGCGATGCAGGCAACAGCTCCTCCGAGCGCTGCACGCGAGCGCGAGCACGCGATGATCCGGTTCGGGAACGCGATCACTCCTGCGGCGAGCTGGGCTCCGCGCGCAGGCGGCCGGATGAGCTGGCTGGCACTGCGGCACCACCACGACGCGAGAGTCTCAACAGCTGCGACAGACCGCCGCAGCAGCAGCAGCAGGCAGCCCTGCCCAAGTCGCAAGGCCTGGGCAGTCGACCCACAGTGGCCGGCAACAGTCCACGGTACTCGTCCAGCGTTGTGGTTGGCGGCGGTGTGGGCAGCCTGGCCGGCACCACCACGCGCAAGTGTGTCCTCACGCTGGACGGGTACTCCTATGTCATAGGTAAGAGAAGCGGCCGACCCCACCTCCCCCTGCGACCGGGTCGAATGTCACCTTGGGTGTGCTCCTTTGTTGGGAAAAGTCTTGGCATGGCTTTGACTTTTAATTCTTGAGCTGCCAACCTGCATAGCATAATAAATATGTATCTATTTTTCTATCATTTCATTGCAGGTAAGTCAATGCAGAGGGCAAACACAGGCGACAGATTGTAGCGTTCGCCCAGGTACGTGGTCCATTGCAGCATTAAATTGAAAATGAAATTGAATTTTACTCCAAAGCGGGACGGGGCGGGTCGTTGTGCGAGCATTGGCTATTATAAAAGTTTGCTCCTTTTTCTTATCCTTTCGGCTAGGCAGCCCAACACAATTCATTTCGAATAGCTGTTGGAAATTTATGGGCCACTTTTAATACTGCAGCAGATTGCGTATACGACGCATGGCCAGGGCAAACATTTTAGAAAATAAATACGCAAAGGCACAGGCAGAGGCAGAGACGGAGGCAGAGGCAACGGAATGAGCGACAGCCCTTAAAAGCGGCTTGTACTCCTTGCGGCTGGGCGCACGCATTGGCCGTGCCACTCAGCTTCCGGGCATCCACAACATGTCTGTGGCACGCCCAGCCAGCCGCCCACTCGCCCAGCTAGACACTGTTTATAAATAGTTAGTTAGTTAGGTGGAGAACACGCCAACACAGCTGTTGGTCAATTCTTTCCGAACACGAGTCCAGGCATTTTTTGTTTTCAGTTATGTGTGTGTATGTGTGTGTGTGTGTGAGATAAAATTCATGAATTCAATTTAAGCTGAAATGAATTTTAAGCTAAAATAAAAGGTATACAAATAATCTCAGTTATGTTATATATGAGTATGAGTGGTTGTGCGTGTGTGTGTGTGTGTGTAGTAGTAGTAGTATTAGTGGTAGTAGTCGTAGTAGTAGGAATAGCAAAAATATTCTAATATGGAAAATGGAAAGCTTAAAAAGCAACTTGAACTATCTAACTGCATATGAATTTTCAACTAGATTTTCATTTATATA